CAACTCAGATATTGATTCCCTCCAAACCCATGAACAATATGAGTTCATTCCACAAAAACCTGACAAAAAAGCCTCAAGTAAATCTTCAAAGTGAAACAAAATCCTCAGAAGATATGTCTGATACCTCTGGTTGTATTGTGGTTGAGGGTATTGAGATTTCATCCAAAAATCTTTTTCAAGGCTTTGGAACTGTTTTTCTAAAAAAGCTTTTTCCTTTCCTTTTTGATTCAGTAAATAGGATTGCTCATGAATATCCTTTACTGTATACAAGATTTGCATTAACTCCTCATGCAACAATTCGATCTTTTCTTTCAATTGAACTATTATGCCAGCTAATCCCTGTAACTGTGAAGACATAACATTTTGTTTTTCTAATATTCGGAGTAATGCTAAATTCTGTGATTTAGCATTTTCAGCCTACCAATTGAGGCTTGCTTCGGCTGGGGATATGGACTTTTGTGCTCCAGTAACATCTCTAGTACTAGGATTTTTTATCTTCCATACATGTTTTTTATTTTCCTGAATCTTTCTGTAATCATATAATGGAGGAAAATTTGAGGCATAACTTGAACTTTGAGAGTCAAAAGCCAAGCATTCTGGAATGTGATTTTTTCTTTCAAAATTTTCATTCTGATCATCCCATCCTGTAGGTATGATTTTCGAAACAATGTGTTTGGGTTTTTTACTACCATAAGTCACATAATAATCCCATTTTCTTGAACTTTCCTAAGTAATCCAACAGATGGATCGCCTTCAATGTATCTCCGATGAAACTTTTGTTGAGATGAGATTTTATTTTTGTTTTTAGTTTTTGGTATCTCATCAAAATCATCATTAAGGCAAGTGGAACAATTGCAAGTATTAAACCAATTTTTTATTCATAAATAGGTCTCCCTTTTTTATCAAAAGCAATAACTTAAACTTTTTCAAGCAGACCTTGAAATTGGGTATGGAATATTTCTTTGGTTTGATTTTCAATAGCTCTTGGAGTTTGAAAACTTATCTGTACCGTTCCATCAACCATTCTTGTCATCCTGGAATCTGTTTGCATCACTGGGTGACTTTGATTTTGAAAATTTTCATAGTTTGTCACCCATGTGGATGGAATCAATTCAAGCAACCTTTCTCGAGATATTTGTCTAAGAATGTAATGACAGACAGGTTGGGAATTATTGTCAACTTTGATGAATAAGGCAGTATTCTCATGTTCAGGGGGTAAAGGGGTAACTATATCAAAAGCATGGTTATGTAATCTATATACCATTTGATAATGGACTGTAACTACAACGGCTGTTTCAATTTGCTTGGTTCCTGTAATTTGTAATTGTACTTTGAAAGCAAAACTCAAATGAGAGTCTTTGATTGGGATATTAAAGTTTGGGAAAAAGGTAACAAAAATGGTGCCAGCGTTTAAGGCTGTTTGCACAGTTTCAATACAGGCATGCTGGTATTCTAAAAATCTGGAAGCTAACAAAGCAATTTGGAAAACTGCTTCCATACCTTTTCTTCCGTGAAATGTTAAAGCTAATTTTATGGCTCCAAAATGAATATGAGTATACCCTTCTTTAAGCCATTGGGGAAATAAGTTTCTGAGTAAGATAATAGTAATATATTGTTCAGCTTGGGTAGCAGGGATTTGGTGTTGGTCAAAAGAAGAAGCTTGAACATATTCCTTGATAGCTTCTGGATTCTTTTTTCCACAGTTTTTTTATTCTTTTGGTCCAATTTAAACTAGATTTATCATAAACATGATAAAAGTTAATTACTTGAGAACTAGTTTCAAAAAACTTTTCAAGGGTATCGGTTATTTCAAAAAGATGTTCTTGTTTGGAAAAATGGGACCTAAATTTAAACGAGAAGAGGAATCACTATCTAAAGAGATATTTGAGACACTCTCTTCTGTCATTTTGAAATAATCTACTGTGTTAACTGTAAATTTTTGAAATAAAGGTTTAGGCCAACTTTCCTTTTCTGGTTAACAAGATATAAACTCCTTTCACAGCCTCCTTGCCTCTACAGAGCTCCTGTTATGTTAACTTTCAGAAAGTATTGACAGTGGAATTGCATCAACACTATAAATTAACCTTTAATTCATACTATATTTTCTGATGTAAGAGATCCTAGATCAACTAGGCAGACGCAGAGCATACTAATCTCAGTATGAATTACAGATTATCCCAATCAACAAAGTAAATATCTGATAATCTCATGACTAACAAGGCTCTGATACCAATATAGATGTGCATAAAATCTACTTGATCTCAAGGATTCCTAGTCGCCGAGCCTATTGAGCGCTCAATTTCGATTGGATTGTTGAGAAAAAATAGTATTTATCAATATCAAAAGTACTTGAGAGGAGTTGAGCCCGGTTAACAATGTCTTCAGATGATTATTAGTTATCTGTCCAAGGAGGAGATGGTCCATGTTAACTTATGAGAAATGATCTGGAGTTTTCTTAGGAGAACCATTATTTCTATATGGTTAATAGAGAGAGAGAGAGAGAGAGATGATGTACATTGACAACGACTAGTACAACAACAAACTGGCCTTTAGCAAGGGCAGGGACAATAACAAAATTGGAAAATTGTTCTTCAAGACACTTGTGTCACCTTGTAATACAAATAAGAGTAACATAAATATCAATACAAAATTTGGCTTTTCAATCATAACACATCCATAATAACAAGAAATGTGAAATTTTATTTATTATTAAGTTTTGTAAGATTTCAAAAATAATGGTTAAAAAAAGTATCTAAATTTCTAAAATGTCAAGTGTCACGGTCTTGATGTGCCAATAAGAACTAAAAACCACAAACCACAAACAAGTGCCAGTAAGAACTAAAAACCAC